ACACACGAAACCCACACTCCGGCTGCTAAGAAGTGCAAATGAATTTTATTTTTTTGGTATCGAATAGTCGAGAATATTTTTCTTTTTTTGTTTTTTTTGATAGGGTACGCGGAGGGCTTCTCCTTGTACTTGGATCCATATCTTGTTTCACCACACATAAAACCCGCACCAGGCCACTAAGAAGTGCACGTGAATGTTTTTGTTTTTTTCAATATATAATGAGGAATATATATATATATATATATATATATATATATATATATATATATATATATATTTCAAGTTGCCCGGGGGTGGGGGCCCCACTCAACTCGGACTTGGATCCACTTCATGCTTCACCACATACGAAAGCCGCACTTCGGCAGCTAAGAAGTGGGCATTAATTTTATTTTTTTGGTAGCGAATAGTCGAGAATATTATTATTATTATTTTTTTCTTTAATAGGATACGTGGGGGGCTTCTCGTTGCACTTGGATCCATATTTTGTTTCACCACATATAAAACCCACACCGGGCCGCTAAGAAGTGCACGTGAATGTTTTTGTTTTTTTTAATATATACTGAGGAATATATATATATATATTTTTTCAAGTTGCGGTGTCGGACAAAATACCGTTACAAGGGTATTTTGCCATGTCTTTGCATTTGGCACGATAACGGCGTCAGCCACCATGACGTAGCCTGTCTGGAAACAAGAGAGGTGTGCACGCTTGGCGTGACACTGGAAGCGAAAACCTCAACCACTGAGGCCGGGGGAAGAATCGGTAAGAAAATTTCGTTAGGAATGTACGCGCGTTATTATGACGCGCGTCATGGTGATTAGGATCAGTAGTAATACCCCTCGACAGAAAAGGTCGAAGGGTCAGTTGGGCTGATGTTGTGACAGGTAGATCTACGACACGCATTGGGCTTGGGTTGATACCTGTCTATCTACCGGTACCAGGGGTTAAAAAATTTTCAACTTTCTGCCTTCGAGTCGAGGACCCGCCACGTCTACCTCTACTCGGTGTAGTACTAGCCTACCCGCCACTTGAGTGATTACCCNCCCGCCACGTCTACCTCTACTCGGTGTAGTACTAGCCTACCCGCCACTTGAGTGATTACCCCGCTGCGACCGTTGATGGCGCAGCCACGGCTAAGTACCGGCCTTCGGGCCTTCCGATGAAATAAGTGCCCTTGAGGGCGCGCGCATACTTAAACCAACAAAGCCTAAGGACGGACGCACCAGCTGGCAAGCGTGCACAAGCACACAGGCTAAAGAGATCAGACCTACTACATTTACTTATAGGGAGGCGGCTCCTTACCATACCGTGGTAAGAGCTAGCCCAGTAGGTAGAGGAACGAACTGATAAGCAAAGGATATCGGGGTCGAATCCGACCTGCCTCCGGGCTCGCTCTTTTGCTAGCTACAAGGGGGCGGGCCTACCTTTTCACCCACCCGTAGGCAAACGGGACACGAACCCGCGACCTCAAAACGAGAAAATTATGGTTAGACCCCGCCGTGACAATTGGCACGACAGGGTATTTAGAAGTTAGATTCGTTTTTCTGTTAGATTTTTTTTCTTTTTCTTTTTCTTTTTATTATTACTATCATATTCTCCCCGTTGGTGGCTATCGAATGAACCCGCCCCTGAATCGGGGCAAGTTCGACGTAGGGAGGAAGGTACGAATCAGGCCGAGGAATCGATTACCGGCCGCTCCAATCGCAGTACCCCGAAGGCAAGCAACCGGAGCGCGGCGTCACGAAGATCTGGCCAAAGGACAAGGGACTGAGAAGCGGAGGGGAGAAAAGAAGGAAGCACAGGGGATAGCGCAAGTGGAGAAAGAAACAACACGAGGAAGACAGGAAGCCGCCATCCCGAAGAGAGAGCAACCGGGAGTGAGTTGCTCAGAACATAGTGAGAGTTGGAGGAAAACCGCGCGCGAAAAGGGAAAGAGCGTGGGAGCGAAGGAAGAATGCGGTAGGAAGAAGACGAAGAAAAAAAGAAGAAGGAGAAGAAGAGACGGAGAAGAAGAAAAAGGGGAGGAGAGAAGAAGAAAAAAGGAGGAGAGGATACTCACTTGGCGTTGCAAATCGGTGGTGGCGACGTGGCGACATTTTGAGCGTACCTGTGGTAGAGGCGGTGGTGCTGTCACCAGCTCTCAGCTCGGGTTGCTGCGCATCGTGACGACGTGGGCAGCACCAACGACGGCATGACGACGATCGGGGAGTGAGAGAGAGAACAAAGCTATGATACTCGCTGCTTATATATGACTACTCATATGACTGTGTGATCTCGCAACCCGGGTTTTCATATCGTTCGCTTTCATAATCTTTGATATTATCATTATTATTATTATTATTATTATTATTATTATTATTATTATTGTTATTATTATTATTATTATTTATGTTATCAAGTATTTAATTATTATTATTATTATTATTATTATTATTATTATTATTATTATTATTATTTTCTTTTATCGGTATTATGGTTATTATTATTATTGGCATCATTATTACTTATATCGTCGGGACCACCTACTAGAATAAGGAAAATCAGAATCGGACAGGGGGGGGGTGCGAGGCAATAGAGTGAAGGAGGGGCGCCAGCAAGTATGATGGCTCTTACATCCTTCGTCCTCCTTCGCTTTCCTATGCCTAAACCCTACATTAGCACACAACCGCTTTCAAACAACATAAGTGAAAATTGTATGTTCCAATGACTTACTGAGATCAGGATGCATGCACAAAGGATTCCCATTCCATATTTTGATCCATGTAACAGGGCGACTGCGGGAGCTCTGCCGGAGTTCAGGAAGAACTCTGGAGGCAAGGAACGACGAGGTACGTTACTTCGACCCAGATGCTGTCTCATACAGACAATCATCGTAACAATGATCATAAGGTTTTGGGATTCGAATCAATAACTCTTCAGGTCTTGGATAGAAAAAAGTTTGGCTGAGTGTGAAACTGATTGCTTCTGGATACAACAATCTTGTTGTGGGCGCTGATTGGAAAAAAGGATACAAACTATCATACCTCTAGTGATCATCTTCTCTATATCCTATCCAAATAGACGATATGTACCTTTATTTGAGTTGCTATAATCAACTGTCATAGATCACGTCGATCATCTTGCTCATTATACATTTGATCCAGAAATAAGTCTCCAAACTAACAACGATTCTAGGCTCAGATGTCATTCAAAGCGATGACCTGAGCCACAGATAAGACTTGTGTGGGGTAAGAATAGTAGGAAAATCCTGCCTTAACTCCAAATGAGCCTTACGCTTGATCAAGTGGCAAGTGCAAGGATCCTTGGACACCCACCTTATTGAGGGCAAGCCAGTGATAAGAGTAGCAGGGGAATCCTGTCTTATCAGTGACAAGTCTGATATAAGAKTTGTGAGGTTTCAAGGACACCTGCCTTATCATTAACCAACCTAACATTCTTTTCAGTGATAAGAGTAGTAAGGATCCTTGGACACCCACCTTATTGAGGGATAGCCACTGATAAGAGTAGCAGGGGAATCTTGTCTATCAGTGACTAGTCTGATATAAGATTTGTGAGGTTTCAAGGACACATGCCTTATCACTGATTAAACCTAACATTCTAGTCAGTGATAAGAGTAGTAAGGATCCTTGGACACTCACCTTATTGAGGGCTAACCAGTGATAAGAGTAGCAGGGGAATCCTGTCTTATAAGTGACTAGTCCGATATAAGAAGTTGTGAGGTTTCAAGGACACCTGCCTTATCAATGAACATCCTGGGGCTTAGTCAGTGATAAAAGTAGTAAGGATCCTTGGGTGACCGCCTTATTGAGGGTTAGTCAGTGATAAGAGTAGCGGGGGAATCCTATCTTATCAGTGACTAGTCCGATATAAGAAGTTGTGAGGTCTCAGGGACACCTGCCTTATCAGTGGCTAGCCATAGGATAAGCCTACCGCTAAAATGTGTTTGGCACATAGGGGCCAAGGCCCACTAAGTTGCCTTTGTCCAACAAAGGTCCAGTAACAGGATGAATACGTCATGAATGGTCTGCCATACCGCCGCTAACTTTCCCCACAATCTGCATTGTTCAGTCCTAACTAACTATTTCTGATTCTACTAAAGGGGATAAGTGAGATCTTGCCTCTTAGAAGGACTATCCATTCATCTGATTCCTTCTTATGAGATTCCTTCCACCAGTTGGGTTGATGATGTGATCATGCGTGTTGGGAGAAGGAAAGAGACCTCAGATAGGATAATTCCAAAAGGGATAAGAATGAGATAGTGAAAAGAAGTATGGAGAATTGTCGTGACAGTAAAAGGGAAGTGAAATGTTATTCACTACCTGAAGCGAAAGGGTAACAACCCAAAACATTTAGTTAAGGATAGAAGTCAAACAAAGACACAGAGTCTAGAAGGAAGTTTCTAGATCTCAATTATGAAAAAAGATGTTAAGATTCTCTTAGACTGTGTTGTGTCTACAGGTTTCGACACTTCGGAGAACTTACGGGAGAATCAGTAAGAACAACAATTATGTTATCTCTGGATAACAGGTCGGTAGAACTCCGACTCAACTTCCACCCATGGCTTGACACCCACACCTAAGACAAGACCTAAGAAGGGAACAGATAAATCTTCCCCCCTGTATTTATGCCTAAATTGTCCAAATCACACTCAGGAGTCTTCAAAATGTGTGGGGCTGGGGTAAAATGGAGTCAGGGTTAGGAAGGAATGTTGTTTTCAAGGGTTTGGGGCGTGAGTGGCATGCTGTGAGTGGGTTAAAGGTTGACACTCGTAACACATTCTGTGTCGGCATTTGTACGTGCGTATGTGTTTTCCTGCATCTGCGCAGGTGTTGGACATTTGTACTGTCTCTTGAGTTTGGGGTCTTCTGGAAATTCGGGCAAAGGGACACGACAATCGTGAAAGTGAGGTCCACCGCTCAGTCAGCTCCCCTGATTCACATACATACATATATCTATATATACTTGTGAATGGGATCGTAGGCTGGTCGGTACTTACGAAGTCATTTTATTTGGGACTTCTTTTGAGAAGAATGAGAAAAGCTTGACTCTCACATTTTTACAAGGTCAACAAAGGAAACATAGAGTCATTGTCATAGTTAGTTAAGCGTGGAAGACTGTCCGAATAGTCGACCTGATAAGATAGTCGGTCCTGAGAGTTAGCACTTCGGGGCTCGACATACGGGTCAGTCTTAAGGCGTTCTACCGCGCGTATGCCTATGCTACGGTGATCGAGAAAAACGCCCTCGGCTGACCTACCTCTGCGATTGCATGTAAAAGCCTTCACACGTGGGTCAGTAGCTCAGCAGGGAGACGCCCACCTAAGGGATGGTGACAGCTCCCGCAGGTGGAGGTAATGTTGTACCTCGCGGGTTCCCTAATCTGTCGTAGGGAGTCGCGAGAGGTGTAGCACGCGCGCACGATCGGAGTTGGTATTTCGTGAAGTAACCAAGAAACTCCTGCGTGACACGACCGTGAGGTCCAACACCAAAACTTTACTTCACGTCAGGGTGAGGGACCACCGCGCGCGACAGGTGGCGCCATTGCCGGGGATCTCGCTTCTTGCCGACGTCCTTAGTGAACGAACTCGAGTAAAGCAAGATCCAGACAGAATGACAATTATTAAAGATTCGGTAATTAACTAAGACTCTAATAGCTGGTGATGAGTAGTTGCTCCAAATAAATCGGTGAGTAAAATAGGGACTAAAAACACATAAATACGATTGCCCTACTTATACTAGGAGTTAGCGAATATGGCACCTAAGGGGCGTGGGACAGGAACTGGTAGAGGAAGAGGCGGGAGAAAGGGGAAGGCACCTGAGAGGCCTGTGGACTTCACTAGAGATAAGGAAGAGTGGAAGAAAGATGATGGAGGACTAGAAGAAAAGGACGAAGGGTTAAGGGCGAGACGATATCGGGAGGGGAGACTCCTGCATACCCCAAACCCAGATGAGATGGCTTACTATTCGTATAGGTATGCAAGGCATTACGGATAATCTCCGTCACGCTTCGAGCTGCATGGTCGCTCGCATCATAGCCCTTACCCACCATCTCAAGAGAGGCAGTTGGCCGTCCTTCCCACGCCTCACCAACAAAGACCCCGCGGGGCACCAAGCGTCTATGATCCTCCTGTAGTTGCGCAGTCTGCGTCTCCTGGTAGGAGGATGTGCATATCGCTTGTAATGTTTCTACTATGTCAAATGGAGATCTGTGGGTTAATAACATACTTGCTGTACAAAAAGATTATATAAATGTTCAAAAGGATCAAAGGAGATAATAGGATAGAAAGGGGGATCGGTCAGATCTTGTGATTATAAGTCTACTAGCTGAAATAAGAGAGATGTGGGCTGGATTGTGCTATGTGGTAGGTGGAGTATACCAAAGAAAAGAAGATGGTTTCAGCCCGATATCAAGTCACGATCAGAGAGCCCGTGCAAATGAGGCGTGCCCTGATGATGAATCTGCCAAGTCGTCATGAGGAAAACGAAAAGATGGGGTATTGTTGGGGGATTACTGTAGAGGAACAAACTTTCATTTGGATCGAGTCTGGATGGGTTAGAGGCAAAAATCGCGCAGTAGAAAGGGTTACCGTATATCTTTCTGTGGAGAAAATTGCAAACTATCGTAATAAATATAGTCTTAGGAACTGATCGATCTCTTTCCAGACTATTGTGGATAGCAGAATTCGCGCTCGAGTCTAGGGGAAGAGATGCAAACTTGAATGGGTTTGAAGGAATGATAGGAACTGTGAGGGTAAGAAAGGCTAGCGAATTTCTTCCGCCAGCAGCATATCTAAGAGGAACCCTTCCTATGTTCATCGTAGATGCAACCTTCGGAGGGAGTTGCGGAAGCCGCTATGGCAGTACCTGAGAGGGAATGTCACGCATCTACCCCTCTCCTGATATACTACGTGTACTTAGAAATAGGACATTTAATTGCAGAAAGGGATCCGCGAAGCATACTATCTCGGGTTGACTTATATGCACGTCAACACGATTGGGGAAATAGGCATGTTTACTGGAAGGAACTGAAGCAAGAGATCATAGATCAAATAAGAAGGATTGCTCAAGGAAGGCTGAGATAAAAAATTATTGAGAGATGGGAAATCGAGTGGTTACTAAGAAAAAAAAGGTTCTTTCTTTGGTCGTTGTAACAGGAATACCAGGATAGCTCCTTTCTGATCAACCTGCCCGAGCCAAAGGAAGGAGGGGTTAAGATGACGCTGCCGAAGAGAACGATAGATCTGGATGAAGAAATGGACTCATGGTGTGGGATACCAATAGGACTAGAAACCTTCCTTTGGATAGAAACCGGACGAGCTTCAGCATGATTGCCCATAAAGGACGCCCACGTCGACGTTTAATTGTTTTATGTTTCAGTTCGTTATGAGTTCTGGGACTAAGAAGACGCTTTTTTACTCTCCTTTTTCTTCGAAAATTTGGCCTGGAAAGGATTCGCTCTCTCTTCTGACGTCGGCCCGTGATAAGTGCCGACTCATCAGCTTGTCTAATACGAACTCTCCGTCTGGCCCTCCTGAGCACGAATAACCATCTCTTCCTCTTTCCCATCGCCAACTCTTTGAGCTTTCTCTTATCCACGCTTTTCCTCTGAGCATGGTCGACGCCCTGATAAGAAGAAGACCAATAAAATCCTGGAATGACCTACTCCTTTCATAAATGTGGGTGAAGTCCGAAGTTTCTTTGGTACTTGTGGGTTCTGGAGGAGATTCATAGAAAGATTTGCTAGCAAAACAGAGCATCTAAGGAAGCTAGTCCGGAAGGATCAGGAATGGGAATGGGAAAACCATCAGGAGGAAGTGGTGGAAGAATTGAAGAAGGAGTTCAGGGAATGAGGTCTGGTACTAGGGGTACCAGACTTTGATGTGACTATGGAAAGGCCCTTCATAGTTGAAACTGACGCTGGACCAACCGCCTTGGGACGCGTCTTGATTCAGATAGACAGTGAAGGAAAGGAGAGGCCACTAAGGTTCGAAAGCAGGACACTAAACTCGGCAGAAAGGAACTACTCGCAGTTAAAAAAAGAAGCTTTGGCGGTCCTGCACTGCCTAAGGATCTTTAGGCACTACCTCTTTGGGAGGAGGTTTGTGCTCAGGATTGATCCTACGGCGCTCGTATACTCACTCAAAAACTTCTCGCCCTCAGATCCGACCATAGTCAGATGGCTCACCTATATCTGGATGTTCGACTTCCAGCTGGAGCGGATCCCTGAGAACAAGAACTGTGCAGACGGCATGAGCATAATTGAGTGGGGAAATCAAGGGGAATCTAATGAAGAAACGCCTCCGGTAGACGGATTTTTGGACGAAGGGGAAGACATACGAACTCACGTAAATTGTTAGTTCATGTTTGTCGAGAGTAAGGAAATGAGGAGAGGAAATCTGATGTGGCATCCGCCTCCCGAATTTATGAGAGAGCCTTCGCTGATACTTACGCCATTAGAGGAAGAGGACTTTTGAGGCGACAGAAACACGGAATGGATGATGGAGCTGACTCTAGCAGAGAACTAAAGGATAATGGATGAACCGCGAACGATCGAAGCAGGAGTCCAACAGACTGACGAACGGGTAGCCATGATGGGAAGAATGTACTACCTGACAAATTCGTTGTACAAGTCCAAACGAATGATGAAAGAGGAATAGTGAAGGCCGACGAAATAATTATTGAGGATGATTACGAGTTTGATGAAGAGAAGAAAAAAGAGTTTGAACAATAAGAAATTTCAGAAGAATTCAGGGAAGAGGAGTATGATTGTATCTATTTAGAAATGAGGTTGCTCCTCTTTGGAGATAAAAGAGAGAGAGAAGTAAGTGAAAAGACTCTCAGAATAAGAGACCACTATGTGGTAAGGGGTGACCACTTGTTTATCAGGGATAAGAGGGGGTCACCGCGACGCGTCGTATGTGGGAGGAATCGTCAGGTTGACGTAGTAGCCGCTTTGCATGATGGGATAGTCGGAGGACATCGGGGTTTCGCAGCTACTTACAAGAAGGCGATGGAGCTCTACTACGGGGAAGGGATGTTTGAGATGACGCGAAAATACTATGAATCGTGTGTACCCTATCAAATTCGATCGCCTATCAGGTACAAGGAACCTCTGCATCCTAGATATATCAAGGAAGTAGGGGCGGTTGTTCATCTGGACCTGCTTGCTATGCCACTAGGTCTCAGGGGATATAACTATATATTCGACGCAAGGGACAACCTTACAGGATTCGTAGATGGCAGAGCGATCAGGAACAAGACCGGGACAACGCTGACGGATTGTAATAGAGAATATTATCTCAGATATCCTTTCGTATTGGAGTTTACAATGGACAGGGGGTCTGAGTTCACCTGTGGGGAAGTGAAATAATTGCTGAAGGAACTAGGGGTCAATGGTAATTATACGACTCGGGCTCATCCACAGGCGAATGCACCGGTTGAGAGAGGCCATAGCACAATTACTAACTTACTGGCCAAATGGACCAGTGGGAAGCCGAATCTTTGGCCAAAGTTCCTAAGAACAGTGTTCTTTGTAGAAAACATCACTGTAAAAAGAACGACCGGGTATGCACCTGCGACGCTCTGGTATGGGCGTCACGCCACATTTCCTATCGAAAGCTTCCTGAAAACTTTGCGCAGATAGGACCTTGAGAACAACTTGACTTTGGAGGAACTACTAGATCTAAGGGCAAGACAGATCAGCGCCACTGAAGAAAGGGTGCAGGAAGCGGCCATGAACATTGCAGACAACAGAGGAAAGGATAAGGAAAGATGGGATAAGTTACCTAGAGTAAGACTCGAACTTCTACAAGTTGGCGAGACAGTACTACTCTACGGTTCCTCTCTGGAAATGCAGTGGTCGAGGAAATTGGACAAACGGTGGCTAGGACCATTCAAAGTCAGAAGGCAGGGACTTCATGAGGCATATGAGCTAGAAGAGATGGATGGGACTCCAAGCAAGGACTGGGTCTCAGGGTCTAGACTGAAGAAATTCCGAGTCAGAGAAGAGGTAAGCTCAGTTACGATACGAAAGCTTGGATAGATTGAGAAGGTATTTAGGCATGCATAGGTGAATCAGTTCCTATACAGGTATGTACCCAATTGCCAAAGATTGTGCTCATACATATATGGATATATACATGCATATATGTATATATATATATATATATGTACGTGTACATAAAAGGGTGCAGAGGGGTATAAGTGGGGATATGTGTGTGTATATACGCTCATGTATATATATATATATATATGTGTGTGTGTGTATATGGACGTGTATGTAAGTACCTAATAAAGGGGGGCATTGTCAACTTCTGTTTAACCAGGAATGTTGCCTTGATGATAATCTGACCCTCGTCCCTTGCCAATTGCTCCTTCTCTGTATGCAGGCGTGACCCTTGGAAAGAAGAGGTCATGGCGCAGAAAAGAGCAATGGCAGGGACCTCTGGACTTGCCTTGAGAAAGGGAGGGCAGAGGAGGGAACAAAGAATCTTAAGGAACCTGGAGGAGTTGCCCATTTACAGGACTGGAGACAGTCTGCGAGTTTTCCTGCGAGACCTTGAAGAGTACGCTTTCAGGAGAGAATGGGGTGACAGGGGAAAAATTGCGAATGTGAGAGGAGCAGGAATGTACAAGAGGAGGATTGAAGGAGTGGTGGCAGGTTGCACAAGGTGGAGAGTATGCAAGGTGAGACTATGGAGGGACATGGGGGAATTCCCAAGGGATGATGTGGAGGATGATTTAAGGTTTGATGGGACCAATCTGGAAGACTTCGTTGAGAGCTTGCAGCTGGCCGCTGAGAGGGGCGAATGGAGCGAGGAGGAAAAAAGGAAGCAGTTGATCGCAAGATCAGACAAAGGCGAAAAGGAGGAAGTAAGAGGAATTGTGGAAGGGAGTCGAACCTGGAAAAGGATAACGGCAGAATTTTGGATACCCTACACCCAGGCCAGGCAAGACGAGACAAGAAAGGAAAGGCTGCAAAAGAAGGGGTAATGGATTGGAAGAGAGATGACTGAGCCACAAGGGAAGGAGGAAAAGAATGAAGAAGAGGATAATGTACCTCTGAATAAGTTAAAGAACAAGGCGAGGATCTCTCCCAAGAGAAGCACCAAGGAATCTGAGCAGGCTGAGGGAGATGAACAGGAAGAGGAGAAGGCAGCAGAAGAGAGGAAAAGAAGCATGGGGGCCAGTATGGTGCCAAGGAAGAAGAAACTTGGAAAGAGAAGGGGAATTGAGAGTGGAAGAAGAGAGGTACAAGAAAGGGTGAGTGAAAAAGGGAAAGGAGTGGAAGAAGCTGAGGAAGGAAAGAAGGTCCAGGGAGGAGGCAAGGCTCCCAAAGTTTAGAGAACTGAGGGAAAGAGGCCGATTGGGAACAAGGAAGAGACAAGTGAGATAGGAAAGAAGGAAGATGAGAAGGATGGTCAGGTGGAGAAGTTGATGAGAGATATGGAAGAAATGAGGAAGGAAGTAAGGGAATTGAAGAAAGAGAAGGAGGAATTGCAAAAAGAAATGAGCCAATTAAGGGCCACCCTGAATGTGCAAACAGAGAACTAGAAAATGAAGTGGCCACAAGAGGTAAGATGAAAATAAGGGTGGATGATCTGGTTTCTGAGGTCAGTGTGCTAGGGCAGGACTTGGACGATGAAATCTCAGAAAGAAAGAAGTAGGGACAAGAGTGGGAGGAAAGATGGGAAGAGATATTGAGAAGAATGGAAAAATCCAGATTAAGCCAACAGGGGAAAGAGAAGGAAGCCACAAAGATGGTGGGAAGAAAAGGGGGTGAAGAGAAAGGGGCACAGACTGAGGAGAAGAAAGATGAGCCTCCTGCACCCGAAAAGGAAAAGGGTGAGATTGTGGCTATGCCTCTGCTAGGACTAGGTAAAAGGCAAAGGGAATCCCAGTTGGACTCACCAAAGGTGGCTAAAGATCAGGTTGAGACTTTAATCCAGCCAGACATAAAGAAAATCAAGCCTAGCACGGTTGGACAAAGATGTTTTTTCTGCACTCAGGAAGGGCACCTCAGAGATGAGTGTTCCATTCTAGCAATTTATATCAAAGAAGGAAAAGCCAAATATGATTGTCATAAGAGATTGGTGGCCGGTACAGGGCAGACCATTCCCAGGATACCTGAGGGAGGTAGGGTAGCACTTCACAAGATACTGGGACTGCCAGTTGATTTCTAGGTAGGAATAGGTAGATGTTTTGAGTAAACTATGACTTGAATCGGCTTAAAAAGACAGTTATGAACGAGAGAAAGGTGTAAATTAGAGCAAGGGGATATGTTTTCTTCTTCAGTTGGACATGAGAACAGGAGTGAGACAAGTTGTGTGCTTTACTTCAGTCAGATGAGGAGACTTAGCATAGAAAGTAGTATAGGAAATGACATGAGAGGTACTTTAGGGATAATAGAGTGGAGTGGTGATCAGACTCTGTAACATACTTATATATATATATATATATATATCACTCAGGGGTATGAGCTGGTGGACACGACGCACTTGTCACATTGTGTGTGGGCCTTTGTCTTTGGTTGAGTCTCTGATAACCTAAGATCTCCCTTCGTCTATCACTACTAAGACTCTATTGGGATCTAAAAAGGTGATAGAGGAATGGGCGGATCTGTATCTCATATGAAAGTTTGATGAGTTTGTGAAGCTTCAAAAGTTGGATTGATTGTACATTTCTTGTTTGAAACCATGCTACGACATGGGTAGACTCCTTTGAGTCTTATCATTTTTATTGCAGAAATTCTTTTTGAAAATCTCTATGAAAGTGATGTTTTATATTTTTGTGGATTCTGACAAACAAAGAGTCGATAAAAGTCTATTTTAAAAATAATGGTTATATATATAACCACTATGTATATATATATATAATGGTTATATATATACAAAGTGACCCCGAGGTGCGTGCCTCACCAAGCTATGATCAAAGACTTGGAGGGCACAACCCTGAGTGGCAGTCTGATGAATGCTCAATTATTAGAAATCTCATTTATTTGGTTTATTTAAAAAGCATCGTTCATCGACCTCAAGGGTTAACCTGAGGGCATAAATTACCAAGCCTATTGTGAAAAATTGGCATCGTTGGGACGTAACTCCCAGCGTGGGCTGCTGACCTAGCATAACCAGGCGGCGGACCCTTCGACTATGGCCGATAAGGGAAACTAGAGGGGTGGCCACCCCAATGACAGGATCTATTCAGGTGGATGTCGAAGGGGTCGAGATTAGAAAAATTTTAAGATCGGATGAATATCCCCTCGTTGCGCAACCAACAAGGGTAACCACCGATAAGCAACAACGCGGTGGGCCGCAACTCCGGTCTGATCAGCAGGACTGTGGCGAGTAAGGATGGAGACCGTTGTCCTCCTGTATTAGGCTTCGGGCAGGACGACAGGCAACTTTGGATTATGATATCAAGAGTTGAACACCCAAGGTCTCGGTTAGGACCCGCGTTTCATGGGTTGAGTTCGTACGCGAACACCGGCCCTGAAAACAACCAACTAATACTTGGACCAAAGACTAAGGGTGTGAGGGAAGGAAAGGTGGGTTGTCATACTTAACTATTTCATGTATTGTAGTACAAATCAAGTATCCCCACTTTCAGTTATATTATTTTATGTGGGAGACCCGGGTTAAAATCCCGGCAGTAATAATGAAAAGTAAGTTGACGACGTCAATCCTGAAACCATATTTCATTTTAGGATTCAGATTTGACGAATTGCTTGTCGGAAAACACCTTTATGTGCATACAGTTCTCCGAGCGACGGGGACGTCGCTTAATGAGGTCTGGGATACTGTCGGACAAAATACCCTTACAAGGATATTTTGCCATGTCTTTACATTCGGCACGATAACGGCGTCAGCCACCATGACGTAGCCTGTCTGGAAACAGGAGAGCTGTGCACGCTTGGCGTGACACTAGAAGCGAAAACCTCGACCACCGAGGCCGGGGGAAGAATCGGTAAGAAAATTTTGTTAAGAATGTACGCGCGTTATTATGACACGCACCATGGTGATTAGGATCAGTAGTAATACCCCTCGACAGAAAAAGTCGAAGGGTCAGTTGGGTTGATGGAGTGACAGGTAGATCTACAACACGCACTGGGGCTTGGGTTGGTACCTGTCAATCTATCGGTACCAGGGGTTTAAAAATTTTCAACTTTCTGCCTTCGAGTCGAGGACCCGCCACGTCTACCTCTACTCGGTGTAGTACTAGCCTACCCGCCACTTGAGTGATTACCCCCCTGCGACCGTTGATGCCACAGCCACGGTTAAGTACCGGCCTTCGGGCCTTCCGATGAAATAAGTGCGCTTGAGGGCGCGCGCATACTTAAACAAACAAAGCCTAAGGACGGACGCACTAACTGGCAAGTGTGCACAAGCACACAGGCTAAAGAGATCAGACCTACTACATTTACTTATAGGGAGGCGGCTCCTTACCATATCGTGGTAAGAGCTAGCCCAGTAGGTAGAGGAACGGACTGATAAGCAAGAATACCGAGGTCGAATCCGACCTGCCTCCGGGCTAGCTCTTTTGCTAGCTACAAAGGGGCAGGCCTACCTTTTCACCCACCCGTAGGCAAACGGGACTCGAACCCGCGACCTCAAAACGAGAAAATTATGGTTAGACCCCGCCGTGACAATTGGCACGACAAGGTATTTAGTAGTTAGATTCGTTTTTCTATTAGATTTTCTTTTCTTTTATTTTTATTTTTATTATTACTATCATATTCTCCCCGTGGGTGGCTATCGAATAAACACGCCCCTGGATCGGGGCAAGTTCGACGTAGGGAGGAAGGTACGAATCAGGCCGAGGAATCGATTACCGGCCGCTTCAATCGCAGTACCCCGAAGGCAAGCAACCGTAGCGCGGCGTCACGAAGATCTGGCCAAAGGAGAAGGGATTGAGAAGAGGAGGGGAGAAAAAAAGGAAGCAAAGGGGATAACGCAAGCGGAGAAAAAAACAACACGCGGAAGACAGGAAGCCGCCATCCCGAAGAGAGAGCAATCGGGAGTGAGTTGCTCGGAACATAGTGAAAGTTGGAGGAAAACCGCGCGCGAAAAGGGAAAGAGCGTGGGAGCGGAGGAAGAATGCGGTAGGAAGAAGAAGAAAAAAGAAAAAAGAAGGAGAAAAAGAGAAGGAGAAAAAGAAAAAGGGGAGGAGAGAAGAAGAGAAAAGGAGGAGAGGATACTCACTTGGCGTTGCAAATCGGTGGTGGCGACGTGGCGACATTCTGAGCATACCGGTGGTAGAGGCGGTGATGCTGTCACCAACTCTCAGCTCGGGTTGCTGTGCATCGTGACGACGTGGGCAGCACCAATGACGACACGGCGACGATCGGGGAGTGAGAGAGAGAACAAAGCTATGATACTCGCTGCTTACATATGACTACTCGGACGACTGTGTGACCTCGCAACCCGAGTTTTGATATCGTTCGCTTTCATAATCTTTGATATTCTCATTATTATTATTATAATTATTATTATTATTATTATTATTATTATTATTATTATTTTTTATCAAGTATTTTATTATTATTATTATTATTATTATTATTTTCTTTTATCGGTATTATGGTTATTATTATTATTGGCATCATTATTACTTATATCGTCGGGACCACATACTTGAATAAGGAAAATCAGAATCGGACAGGGGGGGGGTGCGAGGCAATAGAGCGAAGGAGGGGCGGTAGCAAGTATGATGGTTCTTACATCCTTCGTCCTCCTTCGCTTTCCTATGCCTAAACCCTACATAAGCACACAACCGCTTTCAAACAACATAAGTGAAAATCGTATGTTCCAATGGCTTACTGAGATCATGGTGCATGCACAAAGGATTCTCATTCCATATTTTGATCCATGTAACAGGGCGATTGAGGGAGCTCTGCCGGAGTTCGGGAAGAACTCTGGAGGCAGGGAACAACGAGGTACGTTACTTCGACCCAGATGCTGTCTCATATAGACAATCATCGTAACAATGATCATAAGGCTTAGGGATTCGAATCAATAACTCTTCAAGTCTTGGATAGAAAAAAGTTTGGCTGAGTGTGAAACTGATTGCTTCTGGATACAGCAATCTTGCTGTGGGCGCTGATTGGAAGGAAGGATACAAACTATCATACCTCTAGTGATCATCTTCTCTATATCTCATCCAAATAGACGATGGGTACCTTGATTTGAGTTGCTATAATCAACTGTCATAGATCACGTCGATAATCTTGCTAATTATACATTTGATCCAGAAATAAGTCTCCAAACTAACAACGATTCTAGGCTCAGATGTCATTGAAAGCGATGACCTTAGCCAAGGATAAGACTTGTGTGGGGTAAGAATAGTAGAGAAATCCTGCCTTAACTCCAAATGAGCCTTACGCTTGGTGAAGTGGCAGGTGCAAGGATCTTTGGACACCCACCTTATTGAGGGCAAGCCACTGATAAGAGTAGTAAGGGAATCCTGTCTTATCAGTGACTAGTCTGATATAAGATTTGTGAGGTTTCAAGGACAACTACTTTATCATTAACCAACCTAACATTCTTTTCAGTGATAAGAGTAGTAAGGATCC